GGTTTAAGTATAATTTTTTTAAAATTAATAATTTAAGAATTATCAACAGAAAATTTTATTTTTTATATGGGACACCTTGTATATTTTTAATTTATTGAAAAGAATTTAAAATTACCTTTCCAAAAATATAACACACTTGATATTTTGCTCGATTCCTAATCGAGATATAGAGTATATAAAGATTCGCCCGCTTTAAATAAGTAAGCTTTGAACGGCACCGACTGTAATGCAAAAAAATTCTAGCTGTGAGCATCAATTAAAACGAAAATAATATTTTCTATGAGAGTTGCAGCATTTTATAACAATTTAAAATATATTTAACCAACATCAACACATTTAAACTATATCTAATAACAATAAAAATAAATAGCAAACCAAGACATGAGATTTTGCTAAAGGTGTTCGACATATCGACCGTCTTCTGTTATGGACAGACGGGGCAGTTTTTGAACATTTCTCGCGGAATTCATTAACTGAGTGGGGGTGAAAGATACCCTCTCATAACTGCTAAGTATTTCTAATTCTTGTCTAGATTATACGGAAGAATAAGGAACCTTTATTCTTCCGCAAATATATCCATAGGATTTGATCCATGGGCACTAAGTCAGGCGGCCTCGAGAGCCAACGCACAGTGCTTCGAACATATGGCTCTAGAGGACAAAAATGCAAAACTTCTCTTTTATTGTAGGTAATTTATTCAAACTACGTTTATTTGACACAAATGGTGAGTACTCTCATTGTACTAAATGACGATGTTCTTAGTCCCACGTTTATGAAAAAAAATCTTATAAATAATAAAAATGTTGGAGCTGTGTTCCATCTAAGGAAATAATAATTTATAGTATGAAAACGGTGTAAGTATTAAATAAATCCCTGTAATAAAAAAGAATTGAAATAACATTAGAACATGATTCCTACAATATTAGCCTAATATAAGATAAAAATGTTTCTCTTTAATAAAAAGAAACATTAATGTTATATTTAATTAAAAAAAAACTTAAGATACTATAAATTTACTTTAGGACAACAAAATGCATAGATCGTGACTACTCTGCTTCAGAAGAATCACTGCTGACAGAATCTTCCAAATTTAAAGTATCCAAATCACAGGTAGATGAAGTATCCTCACATATAAGATATTTCTGTACATCATTTTCTAATATGTTACTTGTTCGCGTTGTTACTGTTCTTTTTGTTGGTGTGAGGGGTTCGGATGTTAATAGTTACCTCTTTAATAGACCATATCCATATATTATTTTTTCCTTTTCTTGGGTATGAGGTTTTATAATAAATTGAAAGATGGAAACTTTTTTATGCGACGTTTCGCTCCAACATAGTGGGCTTTTTCAGGGACAAGTGGTGTCTCATTTGACTGGAAGGTTCATTAATATCTAATAAAGAACACATTTTTTGAAATACAAATAATTTTCAGTTCTTGTCCTTATGATCAAGCCAAGTATTAACCAGATCGGCATTGCTTATCAATTTTACTCCATCTGAAAAGTATTATAAAATAAAGTTCGTCGCAAGCAGACGCGGGTGAACTATACAAAAATTAAAAGTGTATGAATATGACAACAAAAATATTCAATAAATACGATATGTTTTTTTAAATGCCTTTTTGAAGTTTGAAAACGTAAAATTTTTATACCCATTTAAGAATCATCTTAAAAAATAAATAAAAACTAAACAATCACGAACTTGTTTAGAAATAAATTTAAAGTACATACCTTATTTAACAATATCCATAGTGGCTTTCAATTAAGTACGTACCGTTTAACTCCATAATATACAGAACTACTATAAAATGTTATTCTTTTCACTGATAAGATAATGATCGCAAAATTTATTTTTAGTGAAAATATTTGCTAACAAAAAACGCTGTTTATGAAAAATAATATACAGGATGGTTGAACATTGCTATAAGTATAAAATTACATATTCAGATATTAGTAAAGTTTAACTTTTTTTTTCGATTTTTGTCCATGGGACGAAGCACTGTGCAACGGCTGGGATCTTGGTTAGCTATTTAATTATTCTTGAAATTGGCTGCAAAAATTTTCTAATAACTTCAGCTTTCAGAGGCGGTGCGTCGTCTTGCTGGAAAAATATGTTTTCGAGTTCCATTAAGGGCATATCATCAATAAGGTGTCCAAAGCCTACTAGTTAAAAGTGGTGAACTTTTAAAAATTCCGTATGTCGAAGGGGATTATAACAAAATATCAAGTGTGCTATATTTTTGGAAAGTTAATTTTAAATTCTTTTCAGTTAATTAAAAATATAGAGGGTGTCCTAAATAAGAAATCACTTTTTCTGTTGATAACTCTTAAATTATTAATTAAAAAAAAATTATACTTAAACCATTAAATTCTACGTAAAAAGGTGCTTTGGAAATGTTTACATTGAAATACAAAATTTTCCATAACAAAAAAGTTATAGGGATTTGTTAAAAATGCACATTTTTGAAAAACACCCCGTAACTCCGAAATGGTAACAGATATTGATGTGCGGTTTTCACCATCATGTTTTTGATGAAAATTGAGAATTGATTCTATCTCTTATAGAAAAGGGTGTTTCCATTTAAAAGCGTCGAATTTGACCCACCCTGTACATTAATGCTTTCTAGCAATCGAAATCAAACTCTTCTAAATAACTGGTCTAATGCTATGGTAATCGCAAAACAATTTCCGATGAAAACGATCAACTTCGAGTGTCAAGCAATGGCGACAGCGCTGCCAGATTGTGATAGATTTATGAGATGAATCTTAATTTAAAAGTGACAAATAATATATTTATTAAATAATTTTTTAGAGATTTATGTTTTATTTTTAATTTAATAACTAATATTTTAGTAATTCATTTATTTATTTGATAGCTTATTTTACTTATTACATATTGGCAAAAACTAGTCCAGTATGAAGATTATTCTAAGCGTTATTATGGGTTATTTATTTATTTATTGCTGTACATCTTTCTTTTTTTTTTTGTGGGGAAAAATCTGCAAACCAGAGACCGTATGTGGTACTGTCGGGGTGGTTGAGGTACCTTACCGACTAAAAAACCTCCACAAGCCGCTTTGAATATCTCCCCGAGGAACTACCTTTCGGCATTACTTCTCAAGGAGGCGGTTTTACTGCGATGTTTTAGTTACTTCGTCTAGCTTCTTTCTCTTTTGCATCTATTAGTGTCTCCATAAAAGTGTGAACAATATTCCAATTTTCTGGGGATCGAATCATCTCTGGAACTAGATCGGAAATCTTAATTTTTGGGACTCTTAGTTTTTTGTATAGAACTCTTCGTTCAGCTGTCCATCGGTTACATTCCAAAAGGGTATGCTCCACCGTATCAGCATCGGAGTCGCCATAGAGACATCTCGGGCTATCAGCTAACTTTATTTTATGTAGGTAATACCTGAAGCAACCGTGGCCAGAAAGCAACTGACTCATGGCATAGCTCATTTCTCCATATGGGCAGCCTCCGCAGATATTGTCCTGTATCCACGACATACTCTTATGGCCAATCTTCGTTGCACTGCAAGAAGTTTCTCTCTATGACTCCGAACTTTGCAGGTTTCTCCCCAAATTTCGGATCCATACAAAATTGTAGATGCTTGTACAGCAGCTAGCACTCGGCGTTTCGTGTGACCCAAGGTAGACCAGTTTGGCATAATTCTGGATAACATGGCCCCCTGTTTTTCTGCTTTCAAAACTGTATGGCGGATATGCTCAGAAAAGCCTCCTCCCGCTTGGAAAACAATCTCCAAATATTTTATTGTTTTCTTTGGTACAATTATATTTTGTTTCACATGAAAACGTACACTGCGTGATTTTCGGTTACCAACCAAAATAACTGCCTCCGTTTTGTGCGGCGCTATTTCTAGTCCCACCTCATCCATCCATGAGCACACCTGCTCCGATGCTCTTTCCGCAGTTCTAACGAGGTCTTCGGTACATTTAGCCTTTACCATCAGCGCAACATCATCTGCATATGCTATGACTTCTACTTCTGCTGGGTATTCCATAAGAAGGAGTTCACCATACAGTACATTCCATAGTAAAGGACCCAGTATAGATCCCTGAGGTACACCTTTAGATACTTTAACTTCTGTATCCTCTACAATAACGCATCTTTCGCTTAGATAAGCTTTTATATTTTCCACTAAATATAAACTTATTTTCCAATGATATGTAAGCTCATTGATTATATTTTCCCAGTTAGCCGAGTTGAAAGCATTTTTTACATCCAAGGTAATCAACATAAGGATATCTCTGTTTGACGAGCTAGTATTCTTTAGTAGGTACTCTAATTGCCTGAGACACTTTTTTAAGAGGATCGATTGTACTGATTTTTTTTTGGAACCCGTACTGTCTCTCATTTAAATGATGTACATCTTACAATGCCATAAGTGATAATATCAAGTAAGAGGGCGTTATTAATGCGCAAACTAATAATCACAGAATTTAATAAAAACTAACGTAAAAATAAGTTTGAAAGTGGTGTAATTTGCTTACGTACTTACTTCTCTGACTGCAGGCAAGTGTGATAAAGGACCTTTATTGTCACGTTCTCGTTCAATATAGTTTATCAATTACTCACAAAGATTCAACAACAACACGATATTATACAAAATAATGACTGACAATTAGGATAATTGTCAAATAATAAACGACAACCTCGCTGAAAACGGCGCAATGTGACCAACATAGCGATAATAAAATTCGATTTAAACTAATTTTTGCAGCTTTAATCTAAATAAAATATCTGTTACAATAATTTGCTCTATAAAGTAAAATAAAGAGCTGTTCGCTATCTTAAATTATACAACAAATTTAAACATTTTTGCTAAAATTTTATTTAGTCAGGTTTATAGACTTTAGTGTCAATTAGTAATAATAATTAATAGTAAATTAGGTAAAATATATAATTTATTAATTTTATTAATTGTGATTAATAGACACTGAATTAGGTTCTAATGTAGTACATTATTTATTACAGCTTACCTAGCTTGGTTTTCGAAGTCTGGTTGGTGCTAACATTCGTCACGTGATGCGACGGTACCACCACAGGGTTGGGCACGGCCCTGGAAGCGATCGGAGGGCAGGCCTCGTCGCAGCAGTTCAAGGTCACGCCCCGCACGGTGCCCAACCACCAACCCTTGTTTTTGACGTAGAGCAGGAACACCAGCAGGATGGCGCCCAGGCCTGCGCAGGCCGCCAATAGCGTACCATCGTTCCCTGGAAAGAAAGGGAAATAAGTCAGATTTTGAGTCATTATAAAAACATATTAGCCTCCTGTACAGGGTGGTTCGAATTCGACATTTCGGAAACCGTAAGAGATCAGGATCGGTTAAATGGAAGCAAAGTTGCGCAATTTGATGCTCAATAAAATGCCGTATTGCATTTTTATTTTTTTAAATTTTTTTGCATAAAATATTCTAGTGATGGAATTTTCTGTACGAAACGTCGGCAAATATCAAAGTGACTATATACAGGGTGATCCGAACTGTATTCCGGAAACTTCGGCAGCATATTCTGCAGATAAAAATAAGTAAAAAAGTTCGTATAAATGTATGTCCTAAAATGCTTACTTTCGGAGATACAGGGTGTAGAAGTTTCAACTTTATTTCGATTTTTTTCAAATAAATTCTGAAGTAGCGTCAATATTTGGATGAAAATTGGTGTCTGGGAGTTTTTTGACATGAGAAATTTGATTTTGATGTCAATATGACTCATACTAGTAGAGGGCGCCAGCTACGTATTTTTTAACTGGTTTGAAGAGTAATAACTTTTCGTCCGTATCTGTATAAAACTACTGAGTAAAAAAATATACATTTACGACGTTTTCTAGGTGAAAAAGGTAAAAGTCGCTACGAGTAATGGTTTTCGAGATATTTGGAATCGAAATTATCAATACCTGTCATCATTGACATAAATTAAACATGTTGACTAAATAGTTATTAGACTGAAATCATAAATTTGAAATGTTTTTGTGCTAAAAGTTCAACAGAAACTGTTTTATCGTCATTTCTTGCAGAAAAAATTATGATTAATTTAAAAGAAATAAAAATTTCCCAAATTTATTATTTCAGTGGAATAACTATCTACTTAACTTGTTTATTTTTCGTCAATAATGACATGTATTGACTATTTCCATTCTAAATATCTTGAGAACGGTTGCCCGTAGCGATTTTTACAAAGATATATTTTTCATGTAAAAAGTCGCAGAGATGTATATTTTTTTACTCGGTAGTTTTATACAGATACGGACAAAAAGTTATTACGCTTCAAAACAGTCAAAACACATGTAGGTGGCACCCTCTACTAGCAGGAGTCATATTGACATCAAAAGTAAATTTTTCATGTCAAAAAACTCCCAGACACCAATTTTCATCCAAATATTGATGTTACTTCAGAAATTATTTGGAAAAAATCGAAATAAAATTGAAACTTCTACACCCTGTATCTCCGAAAGTAAGCATTTTAGGACATACATTTATACGAACTTTTTTACTTATTTTTTTCTGCAAAATATGCTTCCGAAGTTTCCGGAATACAGTTCGGACCACCCTGTATAGTGTTTTAAGAGTGATGAAAGGATTTAATTAAATTGAAAAAAAAATCAGGTCCGTATTTAAAAAAATTAAGTCGATGATGGTCGCCAGAAGTCGAAACGTCAGAGTCAATATTTAATCACACAGAGTTATAGAGCAGAAAAATGGCCATGAAAATGTGTTTTTCCTTTTAAGTTATCTTAACAAATAAAGCCAGGAAACACTAGAAAACAAAATTGAAAATTCCGTTTTTTGTTCGAATATATTCGGAAGTATTCGGAATTTTTCAAAATGCAATACGGCATTTTATTGAGCATCAAATTGCGCAACTTTGCCTCCATTTAACCGATCCTGTATCTCTTACGGTTTCCGAAATCCCAATGATGAGCGTCGAATTCGAGCCACCCTGTACACCGACATACAGGGTGAGTCTTAAATAAGTCCAAATATTTTCAGGACTGGTAGATCTCGATAAGAGAAACATATTTTCTCTTTACCGTTTTTCAAATAAGTTCAAAATAAACGATGGTTTTTTTAACGATGAAATTTTACTTTGAAAATACATGCTATTTTTTCCAACGCCACAATTTCAAACGTTCCAAATAATATAAAATGATTTAAAAGTCATACCTTGTATGTAATTATATATCTTTGAATAAGAAGACTAAGGAAGGAGCATAATGCTAACCATGTATTCATGCATGGTGGGCGGAAAAAGGACTCTAGGGTGGGGATCCTTGACAGTTCTGTTTGACGATTCATTTGACACATTTGAATTTGATTTGAATTTTTGTGGATTTGTCAGTCTTTACGGAGCTTATTTTATGTTATTTATTATTTATTCTACTACTGATAGTTGTATAAAGGTAGTAAATCTAAATGGAAATTGTGGCAGAATTTAAAATAACAGTGACACTATCGCGATTTAACGAAAAAAACTCTAAAATAGTTGGTTGTGTAGCGTGCGGTAGATCTCGGCAAAAATCGAGTGAAATAATGGAACAACTTTTCGCTAGTAAGTGACTATATAATATACATACGTGTAATAAACCGATCATTTATGAAATTCACTTAAATTAACTAATTATATATTTTTTCTTCCATTTTTGCTTTTATTTATTACTTGTCAAATATTAGATGTCAAAGAATTTAGATACGTCAATTTGACTTACCTGCTTCAATAGCGTATCGGATGTTTATGGTTATAAATAATTATTATAACTTATCTATTTTTATTAGAATTTTATATTTTTATAACAATTTTAATAACTACCAACATTTATTCACAACGTAAAATAAATAAAAAATTATAGAGTCTACCACACGTCTACCCTACATCATAGTTTTACATTTTTTAAATAAAATTAGAACGGCACTGATAAACCGGAATTTAAGTCCGCCATATTTGAGGCCCATCGCGGTGGACCTAAGATTTTTGATATGCTCCTTCCTTAGTCTTCTTATTCAAAGTTATATATCGAGAAACTATAGTTACGCTCGTGGAATTTGCCACTTTATGTTAGTTTAATAATATATTTTTTCGTACTTTTATTCTTAGGCGTAAAACATGCGTAAAAGAGCTTTACTTTTATGCCTAGGCGTTAAAACTATATTAAATAAATATATAAATAATAAAAATTTAAAAATATTGTCATTCACGTCACAAAAAAATTATAATTTTGTGACGTTTGAAAAAAAAACATATTTTTTTTTGTTTGTAGTTATTCTGAAAATTATGTGATGTAGCTTCATTCAGACTTCCCCTAGGAGATGCAAGACCTTGTCGTTGGTGGGGAAGCTCCTGGTCAGGTGCTGAGAGGAATCACCTCTAGCACTTTGGCTTGGTCTAAGAAGCATCTCACTCATTGTCTTGTCTCTGGCTGTAGTGTCGTGGCCAGGGAATTGCACCAAGACATTTAACCAGGCACCTTCTACTGTCTGTGGTCAAGTCTCGCGGGTAGAGGGTATGGGGGAGTCTTGGCTTAACCGCCCGGACCAAGAGGAGACAACCTCACCAAAAAACCTAAATCCTACGATGGTGGGACCAGGTCAAAGGGACGCGTGGCTAGATAGAAACTAGCCTCTACTGGTCTCAACCTTGGGGCATCAGGGGGCACCCCATTGTATTTACCTCTTACTTCTACATGCGGGGCTCTGTAGAAGTGAACTGACTAACCCTAGCTACTCGTGGGAGCACTATGAGATCAAACAATCATAAAAACACCACCGGTGATGCTGTGGGGAAACCCTCTAGTAACACTGGGAACATTATGAACGAAAGTTCCAAGGGATCAATCCCAAAGGGAACTACAGGAGAGGCGGCTGACACTTGTGCGAGGCCAGCCTCCACAAGTGGTACACAAGTTACCACCTCTTCTAGTAAGGGTCGGGAGTCCACCTCTAGACCCAACAAGCGACACCAGCTACCGTTCCGTCTACCCGGTTTGGGTCAACCAGGCGGGTTAGACGATCCGGTCTGAGTAGTAGGTCTTAGTAGGTGAGAGTAGGTCTTAGCGGAGCACAAGCACGGAAATACCTCCGACTGCTCCACGAAGGACTTGCTCCGGAGGAAGCAAAAGCCAAAACTCTCCTTGAAAAAGGAACCAAGAAACAACCTGGCGCATCTCCACCAAAGGGCAAGAGAGGGAGCGAAAACCTCTCCCCTTTGCTCCGACAAGGAGAGAAAAAAGCCAGGATGGAAAGCCGTCCCACACCGAGAGGCAAGCAGGGACGTATCACTAGTTATGCCGCTATTGCTGGACAAGTGAAAATTGCGGTGCTGCCAAAGGAATATCCGGAGGTTGTACTGACTACCGAGCAGCAAACGGCTCTAGAAGAGGCGATACTGGACGAAGTAGTAGCGAGTGGATTGCGACGCAACGATCCGCAAAGTGTGGGTCAGCTGCGCTTTGCGGGGATACACTTTAGGGTGGGCACGATCCTCATAGATTGTGCATCTGAAAAATCGGCGGATTGGTTGTTGGAAACGGCACCTAAGCTTAAAAATTGGCAGGGGCCGGGACTGGTTGCAATGAGGGGAGAAAACATCCCTAAAGGGACAACCATCACGGTCTTTCTGCCAAGAAGCAAGGGGAAAGACACCACCTACCTGCTAGACCTTATCCAAGCTCAGAACGAGAATGTGAGTACATCGAGCTGGCGAGTCCCCAACTCGAAGGAGGAGGGCCATGGTCAGGTCCTCACAATAGGAACTGACCTCAAATCCAAGGAGGCAATAGAGAAAGAGGGATATAACCTCTATTATAGATTAGGGACGGTACAGGTCCAAGAAAAGAACAAGCTAAAGAGGGGGAGAAAAATGGAGACAGCCTCCATCTCACAAGTACCTCAGCCGAAGACAAGCTCCTCGACTGTGAAGGACACGGATGGCGTAACTCCAACCGTGAAAGGGTGTATATCCTCGGAGGAGGTTGATGACCACTCCTCGGAGGAGGAACATCTGTTGTCAGGGGCGATGGGAAATACCCTGTCCTCCCTACAACAGGGGGATCCTTACCTACCCCAGAAACCTGATGCATGGGATATCCCAAATAAACCTGCACCATGCAAAAGGGTCTTCCGCCACAATCACAAGACTCTTTGAGAAAAACCAATATGTAATGGTACTAGCCCAGGAACCCTGGGTGTACCAGGGACAAATTAAAAAAAGGGTTGTCTGGAAAA